TATAACCTACACCTGCCAAGGAGCTGTCAAACTGTCAAAATTTGACATAATTAGCAAAAAGGCGATCTTCAACTAATTCTTTTAAATAAAGCCGCGATTTAAGTCGAATATGTTATTTAAATTACAAATTAAAACGGAAACGACATTAAGCATCCGTCAAAAAGCTATCAAACTGTCAAAATTTGACATAATTAGCTAGAAAAGGTAATTTCAAGTTAATTACTTCACATAAAATCACCAATTAATGTTTAAAAACCAATTGACTTTATTATTGAAAGTTGAAATTAAAATCTAAACTATTAAAATTTATTATAAATATAATTAGCGTTTTTAATCAAAGATGATTATCGATTTAACGTTTTAATTAGGATGATTGACGGCAATAACCATATTAATTTATAATTAAAAAGTGTTTGTAAACCGTAATTCATCATCGATTTAAACCGAGTTTGTAATATAAATTGGAAAAGTTTATGACTAAGAGAGAAGAAGGCCGCGTTGTGGTTTTCAATGTAGTACGATTTAAAATTTCTCGTTTACCGGCAACGACAACAAATAGAACGGCACTAATCGGTTTTAATAATCAGCAAGAACCGTTTATTAAGAACGAAGAAAGCCTTTCACCGATTTTCCAACTAACAACCATGAAAATATTACATTTTCGAACCTTTTTTAATTCTTTTTTTTTGTTATTTTCTTTTAACCTCATTTTATTTTTTAACTTTTAGCGCACGCAACGCTCGACAACCGAGGACGGGAGCTTTAATTAGGAACGTTCTTTGTGTATCCAGTTGCCTCTGTCTACCTGGTAACAAAAAATGTAACAAACATTGTTGGTGCGGTAAAATTAATGAACGCCATCTCTATCTCGAAACGATAATCAAAATTAGAAATAAAATAAATCCACAATTTATTTTCAATCCAACACTTATTCTGTTCATGTAAATGAAAGAAAACGAAATAGACGTGGAAAGGTTCAAAATTAAGCTCACTTGTGCATGACAATGATGGCGGGGGCGAGGGATGAGGGGTGACAGGGAGAGGAATCAAGTTGGCCGTTCGTCGTCGAGTGAATCGACGAAAAGGGGGGCCAACTCGCCGCTTCGCGCGCCCTCTGACGGACCGGAAGCGACCGGAATTCCCAATTTGCAACCCATAGAGGGCTCCACCGATTGGAAACAAAAGAGCGGCGGCGGTGGAGATTAAAAATAAAAAAAAAATGAAACGAAGTTGGGAAAAGAGAAAAGGGGTTTTAGCGGGTAGGTTAAAAAAATACTTTGTTTGAGAGTAAATTTGCCTATCAAAATTTGTTTAATCAACTTTCAACAAAAAAAAGAAGTTGGAGTATTATTTAATGGCATTGTTGTACATTTTCATTAACACATCTTGCGCGGGCACTTTAAACATCACAAAAACCAATCGATAACAATAATCCATCTATAATCCGTGAAAAACGATTTTAGTCGCTTCCCGCTCAAGTTGTAAAATCCGCGCAAAACGACTTTAGTCGTTTCCCGCGCAAGATGTGTTAAATTATTTGCATTATTCGTTTTTTTTTGTTATACGCACGTAGCCTTTTGAGAAACACACGGCTAAACCCAAATATTTCTACTTCTAGGTTTAGTGCTAGATCCAGCGATAATGCTGAACAACTTAGCAGCGCTAAATAACTAAACCTAGAACTAACACTAGACGCACGGCTAAACTCCAAACTTTCTAGTTGTAGGTCTAGTGTTAGTTCTAGTTTTATATCAATAAAAAATGATTTTGGTGTTTTTTTAAAGAGATACGACGCACGGCTAAAAAAAACTTTCAGGTGTCAATGTCAACTTTAATTTAACTGTTATATTCATAATCTTTATAAAATGAGCCCAAACATGACGCAATTATCTCAAAAAACAAAAAAATTACAACTTTCAACTTTAATTTTGACATATTTGTCATGTTTATAAAAAATCCTTTAAAATTAGTCCAAACTCGACATGTTTAACTTCAATATTAATGGAGATATGATCAACTTCCGGTTTGAAACGTCAACGTCAATTTTGACATATCTGTCATCTTCATTAAAAAACCTTTAAAATGAGTGAAAAGATGACTCATCTTTTATCTCGAAAAACAAAAAAGTTGAAATAAAAAATATTAACCTAAACTTGGCAATAATGAAGTTAGCAACATAATTTGTTAATAATTCATTATTGAGATGTTTTTGTTTTGTGTGATAAATTTTAAGACATTTTATAAAAATTAAAAATATGTCAAAATAACATTTAAAACCGGAAGTTGCTTATATCTCGGGTAATATAAGTTAAATGTATCATTTTGAAGGATTATTAATGAAGATTATGAATATGTGAAAATTGACGTTGACATTTCTAACCGGAAGTTGACCATATCTTCATCAATATTGAAGAGAACTTTGTGTTTGTACTCTTTTTAAAGGATTTTTAATGACGATTACGAATAGGTCAAAATTATTTTAATTAAAACAATTTTAATTTTTTATTAATTTGAATTTTTAATTAATATTCAAGAACATTCGGGTTTAACCGTCTTAAGAGACGCACGGTTAAACACAAATGATTCTAGTTCTAAATATTTTTAATGTTTGGAACATGAGATCAAAATAAGTTTTTGATATAAAATAGAAAGCGCTTTTAAATGCAATAAAAGTGATTGATAAAAAATGTTTAATTGAAAATGTATTAATTAAACAGAATAAATTTTAAATAAAGGTAAAAGTAAATCCGATTCAAATTAAAACAAAATTAACCAACAAAACTTTCTTGGATTTCCTATTTTGAAAGAGTTCCCGGATAACAACCGACTAATTGTAGACAAGTAAATAAATTAAAAGTAATTCATTCAATTTCAAAGAGTTTTGCAGTAAAACGAGAATGAAAAGTGAGCGAAAATTGCGTAAGATAGATTATAGATAAAAATCTTTTGAAAAAAACTATAATATAACGGAGGTGAGTGTCTCAGCAACGAGAATGAGTCGGAATGAGTCACCGGTTTGTCATGGCACTGACAACGGGGTAACCTCGATTCTCCGAACAGGTATAAATTGATGAAACGGGCACGTTGGGAACACAAATAATGAATACCTCGTCGTCTACTTATAACGGAATTTCGTTTCAAATTTAAATTCATAAAGTGTCCCATAAAATTTCAACACAATTTAATATTTAACTGTTGAATTTCGGGGTCTAATTAGAATCGGTTTCGACAACACGATCCCGTTAATTGCACTGATCAAAGAACCGGGGGGGTTGAGTTCTCCTTTGAAGGTGTTCCTGAATTCCCCAAAACGGCTCGTGATATTGTGTTCGGGGTTTAGATTATTGAGGTCGAATCAAATACATAACTTGTTATATAAAATCGTGGGATAAAATTTATTTTTTTTAAGGAAAATTCGCACGCTTTCTAAAGCGACGTTTAAAAAAACTGATAAAAAATAAAATTCGTTCCGATTGAAAACCTAACCGGGGGAAATTCGAACGGAAAATCTGTTTGTACTGAGACTTAATTTCATCCGAGCCGCGTGGGGGGCGAAAAATTAATTGGAAATTCAATTAACCCCTTCCGAAACCAACGAACGACGCGGACAGCTTTCGAAGTGTTTACTTTCAAAGTTTTTCCAACCCCTACTTTCAAAAAAAATCTAATTATCTTCCTCCTTTTAAGATATCTACTTGAAAAAAATTAATTAAAAATTCAAAATAAAAAAATAAAATTGATTTAATTAAAATAATTTTGAAAGATTCGTAATCACCAATAATAATCCTTTCAAATGAGTACCAACATGACATATTTTTGACTTAAAATTTGACACATTTCTAATCATCATTAAGAATCCTTTAAAATGAGTACAAACACCACACAGTTATCTTTAATATTAATGAAGTTACGGTCAACTTCCAATTACAAATGTCAACGTCAATTTTGACATGTTTGTTATCGTCGTGAAAATCCCAAACGTGATGCGTTTAATTCCAATATTACTCGAGATATAAGCAACTTCCTGTTTTAAATGTCAACGTCATTTTGAAAATCTTAATTTTTAGTTTTAAAATTTATCACAAAAATTAAGGTTGGTATTAATATTTAAAAATTATGTTGCTAATTTCATTGTTGCCAACTTCAAGTTTAATATAAGTACGAAGGCTTTAAGTTTAATATTTTTTATTATAACTTTGTTGTTTTCGATAAAAATGCATCATGTTTGTGTTCATTCCAAAGGATTTTTTGCGGATATTAAAAATATGTCAAAATTGACATTGACACTTCAAAGCGGAAGTTGACCATATCTCCCTCAACATTGAAGTTAAATGCGTCGAGTTAGGACTCATTTTAAAGGATTTTTAATGAAAATTACAAATATGTCAAAATTAAAGTTGAAATATGATTTTATATACTGTAACAATGAGAAGTGTGTGAAAGTTTCTTACCTCAGTGTAGAAAATTGAAATTCAGCTTTAATCAAGAAGGAAGCAACTTCCAAACGTTTCTTATACAACCTCGAAAGGTTAGGTTAATGATCGCGACTCAATTATAAGAGTTTTTCTTAAAGCTAACCTAAATGAATCCATTTTATACTGACTCTGCATATTCAAATCGAAACGGTTTTAAAAAATTTATTTTATATCGTATTTAAAGATAACATAGTTTTGTTGCTGATTCAGAATTTAATAATAAATGTAAAAAAATTCTTCTAAAAATAAATTTCTTAAAATACTAAAGTGTTAATCAAAAACGTTTCAGCGCTTAAATTGTTTTAAAACCACCTGTACCGAGAAATTACCATCATAAAGGGAACCCCTCAATACACCTGAACCCCTCCAAAAACTCAAACACCACCGGATAACGTTCCCCTAACCTCAAAAGGTTTACAAAACAGGTGGTTGTTTACAATTTACACCCCGCAAAAAAATAACTTTGAATTTTTAAATTCTTAAAAATTAATGTTAAAATAAAAAAATTTTGAAAAAAAAACTTACCTTTTAATGATAAATAAAGAATAAGCACCCTGTATAAAGTTTTTTCAGGTAGTGAGACAGACATGTTTTTTAAAACCACACCAGGTAGTAAGTAAAAGGTAACCAAGTCGGCTATGATGGCCAACAACACAAAACAATTGGTAAACGGCACTGTTTTCGTTTGAAAATTTTACGACTTCTCACAACTTTTCAGAGACTTTCTCGATTAAAAAAGTGCATAAACGGTCACTACTTACAACTTTCCGGCACTTTTCGACAAGTTAACGGCGATATCCGCGACTTTTTCTTCGTTTAAAGCCACAATTTCAAGCAAGGAGAGCGTGTCACTCCGCGAAACGCTCTTCACCACTCTGTCGAAAAACGACGATGTTTCCCTCTACGCGGCGTACGCTGAACTAAACCGGACACAAACGAAGTTCATTCGAGAGGTGTGCGCAAAAACTTTTCTCTCTCTCTCTCTCTCTCTCCGACTTTCCTATTGAAACGATTTTCCCTCTTCGTCTTATCTATTATTTATCAACACCGCACCTGATTTCAATAATAATAAATTGCTGATAAATTGTTATTACTAAATAAAATGATGATTTTTAAGGAGATTAGATAAGATTAACCGTAATAAGATAAAAACGTACCTGCTTTTATTGTTAGGTTAGGATTTAACGGAGCGTACAATGAGTTAAATAACTGTAAACGTTTTGTTTGCCGCGGGAACAGTTCGTAACATGAAGCGCGGCGCTCGGAATTGAATTACGCAAAATTAATACGTGTTTAAAACGGGACACGGAAGTTATTTCTTCACAAAAATAATAATTACGCTTTAAAAACGATTCGACTTAAAAATGACGTTTCTTTCATGTCGGTAAAACAGATTCTAATTTAAAACATTTATTTGCAGAAATAAATAAAATTGATTTAAAATAAAAAGATTGTTTAAATTGTTCAAAAAAGATTGTTGATGTTAGTTTGTTTGATTTTAAACAATCTTAAATTTAATGTTAATAATAAAAAAAAAAAATTTACTAGTAGTGACATCTAACGGAATTTCGTTAAAAATGGCGCCGATAAAACAGAACATAACCCTAATAAAAATATTAAATTGATTATTTATGGTGATAAAAACTACGAAATTCAATGCTTTTACATAATATATTTGATATATTCTTATTTTGATTTATATTAATCACATAGATAAACTTTAACGATATATTTCTTTGTAGATAGCACCCATAAAGTAAGTTGAGGTTATGTAAACTTCCATTAAAAAAGTATCATTTCAAATCAATTCGGATAATAACACAAATTAAGTCTAACTCATAACAAAAAGTACAGATCTGTATAATAAAGCACCACAAATACATAAATATGTCTCGAAGACCTCCGTTTATTCATTTCTCGTCAAAGCGATTTCATCTTCAGGGACATTCTCTCGTTTATACTCACGCTCATTCACCAAATATAAAGTTAAAACGGAAAAGAGGGCAGTCAACATAGCCAAAGTGTTTACAAGGTAACCTTCGGGGGGAAATCGTTTGTATTTGTCACTTAAAAAAAATCATCGCAATCAAATTAATTGGATTAAATTGATTTAATTGATTTACCTTAAACTGAAAATTGCTTTTTCGCAGAACCCCATAAGAGCGGTAAACGAAGCTAAAATGAAAATTGCAGTACCAATGTTAACGTGAGCCGGTAATAAAGTTGCACGGAGATCTTTAGTAAAACCCGGAAATAAAAAGCAAGCAAATCCAACTACATACTAAAAAAAAATTTGGTCTAATGATGATTTAAATACGACTTTTAAATAAATACCTGAAGACAAAAAGCGATTACAGTGGTTAATCCCAACCAAGAATGCATCGTATATAAATTTGGTTTATCAACGGCTAAATTATGCGAATCAAAAGCTGTAATTAAACCAAATATGGTTAAAAAAATTATGGAGAAGTGAACCCCAGCGTGAGCCAGCTTCAATCTCCTTTTAGTATCATATCTCCGACTACGATACAATAAAATCGCTGAAAAATAATAATCTTAAACCATTAAAACCACGATTGTAATCATGTTCCATCAAAAATTTGTTTACCTTGCGAATACAATAAAATCATTCCGAAAAACATTAGGAGAGGATGCCAATTAAACTCTAAATCTGGGTGAGATCTTCCGCTTAACCCCCCTCGAAAAGCAAAAACCCAAATTAACATGACAACGAAAATTGTTACTCCCAAAATGGTCGTTGTATAAAATAAGGTGTTGAAACGCTTTGTTGTTTGATGTTCATTTCGAGCTTCCATTTGGTTCCTAAAAGAATTCCCTCAATCTGACTTAATTAAGTGAAAAAGAATTGTTACCCGAAAAGAAGTGATTTTTTAATTTCTTTACTATCTCGTCTATTTCTCGTTGTTAAATTCGCCTGTTGATTCGTTTTAAACATCAATAGGACATGAATCGTTGGCAACAAGTGGGATTATAAAATCAATAACGTTTTAGACGTTGTAGTTATCTACAATGAAGGTAAAAATAAACTAATACATTTTAATTATAAATAATTACCTTATTTTCGATAAAAAGGAATGGAATTTTAGAATGTTATGACTACAACGTACTTTTTGTGATGTGTTTATGATTAAGAGGGGATTTACAGTAAACTTTAATGTTTCGGTTAGATAACCAGCATTACACGAACATTCTTTTTGATCTAGATTGTTTGTAAATTCATTTATTTAAATCTAATTCTAGTAAACGTCAAAATTATAATAATGTTATCGTTTTTATTGAATTTATCCAAAAATTCTTTATTAAAACAAATTTTAAGTAATACCAATCGAAATTTGAGGCAAATTAGTTGTTGTCACGATGACATAAAGGTGCAAGAAAGGAAAAATAAGAAGAAGACGAATAATTTTAAAGGAATTTGTTCGAATACAGAAAATTTTAACGACAAAGAATGCGTTGTGAATATTTATTTGGACACGGATCAATCGAAAATCGAAGAAAGGGAAAGTTTTATTCGGTTCTTAGAGAATTTGTTGGATAATTCCGATTTGGATGATCAAGTTAGGAGGAAGATTGAGAAATTTTTGGATGCGATTAGGTTCAAATGTGTCGATGGGGTTAAAATTTAAGTAAATTTTATTTTATTGTTGTTTTCGGAAATTAAAATTAAATCTAAAATATTTTTGGAAATTTTTTTTTAGTGGAAGATAAGCTAAAAAAATTTTAATTTGTTGACAGTTAGATGTCAATTTTGGCATTTAACCTCAAAAATTATATTTTATTAATTGATGTTTAATGTCAAAAAAAATCAAATCATAAAAATTATTTAAAAACTAGAAAGGCAACAAGAACAGAAGACTATTTCAATCGAGGCGTTGTAACTGACTGGTTATATTTTTATTGTCCAAGAATAAAGCGAAAATGTTAAAAATGTCAAAATGTTAAAAAATCAATCATAACTTCAAAACTAGAAGCGATGGAAGAAAATGTTATGGATGAAAATTGTTGATATCGAACCAATAAAGCTTAATTCATAACAAAGTTTTCTTCCAACTGTTACCATTTTCTAGGAATAAAGCAAAAATGTCAAAATGTTAAAAAATCATCATAACTTTAAAACTAGAACCGATGGAAGAAAATGTTGTGGATGAAAATTATTGATATTGAACCAATAAAGCTTAATGCATAACGATGTTTTATTTCAGCTGTTATTATTTTCTAGAAACAAAGCAAAAATGTTAAAATGTTGAAAAATCAATCACTACTTCAAAACTACAACCGCTGGAAGAAAATGTTGTGCATGAAAATGGTTGATTCTTATTTCATAACAAAGTTTTATATCAGTTGTTACCATTTTCCAGAAATAAAGCGAAAACTTTAAAAATGTTAAAATGTTGAAAAATCAATCATTACTTCAAAACTAGAACCGATGGAAGAAAATATTCTGTGCGAAAATTGTTAATATTGAACCAATCAAGAATAATATAACAGTAAATATAACAATAATTCTTTAAATCACAAACACAGTCTTTATTTTGAAAGAAAGAAAAAAATAAAATGCTTAAAAATAATTTAGGTCGCAAATAAATGTGTATATATACTGTACATATATATATACAGATTTTCCGTCTATATTTTCCCGGAAACCCTAGGAAAACGGCCGCGGGCTTTCAGGTGAAAAAAATATCGAGTGCATAAACGGTTGTAGAGCTTCGATACGGGGCGTTAAAACACAATTGTAAACCGTCAGAAATGTTCAAACACCTCGCCGAGTTCGTTGTTTGTTGTATCGCGTTAAAAAAAATTTATAAACCACCAAAAAACCATTTAATTTAATTTATTTTTCGATCTTGTTCGAATGGATTTAAAATCTTCGGGTTTAGAAGACGTTGTCGATACGACCGCGCAAGAGATGGCGCTCGGTTCGAGTTTCCCCATGGACTACGACCGGAAATATGGTAACCCGCCGCTATATGTATAGCTAATAATTAAATTTTTCCTTTCTTTTCTCGTCACGCGTTTTAATTGAATTTAATCTGTAATTTAATTTATATCCACGACGTTCGCGTACCTTAACGCGGTTAAGAGTTAATTTAATTTTAGCTGAACCTTACGATCAAGAGTTCGACGTCCAGTTTCAAAACGGCGACGAAAGCGCCGCTCCCGGCACCAGCGGCGTCAAAAGAAAACAACGCAGATATAGAACGACATTTTCAAACTATCAATTAGAAGAGCTAGAGCGAGCTTTTAATAAGACGCATTACCCCGATGTATTTTTCCGCGAGGAATTAGCGCTTAGAATCGATTTAACCGAGGCTCGAGTTCAAGTTTGGTTCCAAAATCGGCGCGCTAAATGGAGAAAACAAGAAAAGGTTATTCATAAAACAACGACGGGAAATGGATCAACCGGAATTCACTCTATATCATTATCGGGTAATTTTAGTAAAATTTTATGATAATAATTTGAAATAAACACTATTTTTAGGTTGTGGTTCAAGTTTAGATAATTCGCTTTTAAATTTCGCGCCAACGATCGATCAAAATACTTCTTCAAACTTATTTTTAGGGTTGGAATGGCCGCCGATGAATACCATTAACTTTCAAAACGCTATTTCGCCCCTAGAAAATGATTGTGCCAGCGGAGGGATGGTTAACGAGGGCCTTAACAACGATCGGGTTAATAACGAAAATTCTATTTTAATAGCTGATCACCGGATATCAAATTCGATACAAAACGTCGGTTTGATGGGGGATCATATTTTATTAAGCGATGATATAACGGATCGATTAACGAGTAGTTTGAATTTAATCCAAGATGATATCACGATCGATCCTGAATTGTTAACCCTTAAACCGAAATGTTTAGATAATACCGGAGATGAATAACTTAATTAAAATTAAATTAATTTGAATTAAATTGGGTTTCATTTAAGATTAACCTTAATTTCTCCCACATTTTGAGGTTAAGCTCACCTTTTACCACGCTCCGATTCGCTTTTAAGATGTAATCTTCTCCTATTATAGTCACATTATTTTATTGTGGTTATTACTCGAGTCAAAAAAATTCTTTTTAAAAGAAAATTTCTTCAGTTTAACTCGATTCCCAGATAAACCAAGATGTTCATTTCAACAAAAATCAATTTTTTTCTCACAATTATCATTTACGCGAATAGCGAAGAATATATTTACCCAAAATCGACACATTTTAGAGATAATTTCCAGACGATTTTTGATAGGAGAAATGTTGCCGTAAAAAAATACTTGGTTAAGAATACTAATCGGTTGGGTTTTTACAACGTTCAAACGGGAGATGAATTTTTCCTGCACGATTTCGACGTAACGCCGAGTTTTAAAACGAAACAACACAACAAAGATGTCCTTGAGTATCAATATTCCGGATATACAACGAGGGTGAGTTAAAATATAATTGGATAACTTTAAAAATAGTAATCTCCGTTAAAAATCCTTTAAAATGGGTACAAACACGACTTGGTTGTCTTTAAAAATAAAAATAAAATAATCGATGTGTGGATTTTAAAATGGATGATCAAAATTTTTAATCGTCGTTGAAAATCCTTTAAAATGATACCAAATACGTCGGGTTTATCTTAATGTGTTTTCATTTCAAAATGGCGGATTAATTTTTTAATTTTTTAGGTTATCTTTGTTATTTGTAATGATAATTCCGTCGAGTTTGGAATCATTTTAAAGGATTTTCTATTGCAAATAAGATAATGTTGAAAAAAAAATAAAGAAAAATTAAGAAATTAATAAATGCGAATAAATTATTTAATAAAAAAAATAATCGAAATCAAAATTTTAAAGTTTGCAGCTAAAATCCTTATTCTGCATTGAAAACTCTTTAAAATGATACCAAACTCGATTAGTTTATCTTGAACCGAGCCGCCATCTTGAAAAGACTCCGTCTATTTTCAAGATGGCGGCTGGGTTATTTAGGTTTTTTAGGTTATCTTTGACATTTTTAAAGATAACCCCATCGAGTTTGGACTCATTTTAAAGGATTTTTTATTTCCTACGCGATTGTGTTAAAATAAATTTGAAAAATTTAATAAAAGAAAATTATATTTATAGAAATCAACTTTGTCAACGACTTCCCGACCAATTATCAAAAAAACAAGTAATAAACCGACGAGAAAAGTGGTGAGAACGACGAAACGGAGTCAAATTCAACAAATTAAGATGAAAAATGGTTTTTCGACGACGAAAAAACCGAACCGCCAACAAAATAAAAATAAATTTAAGCAAAAATTTCAAAATAATTGCCAGAAAAAAAATAATAAAAATGTTAAAATTAAAACGACGAAAAAACCTGGATTGAAATTAAAAAATAGAAATAAAAAGATTAAAAACAATTTTAATCCAAGTGCAAATGCGATTAAAAATTATTTAAATTCGTTAAAAAATAAAAATAATCACCGTGGAGAAAGAAAAATGTTTTCTTCATTTGAAGGTTTAAAAAACTCCACGAAAACTTTAACCAATCAATTTTTAAGTTTATTCACAATCATGCAATTCGACAATTTCGAATGTTCGATTAACAATGAGAATGATAGCGAGGGGGATTTAAAATATCGCGGGATTTGTGTCAACGAAGCTCGATGTTTGAAACTAGGGGGAATCCCCGTCGGTCAATGCGCTAACGGATATGGAATGTGCTGCATTTGTGCGTATTTAATCAAAAATTAAAAAGAAACGATTTAATCCAACAATTTTAGTTCGAAAAAATTGTGGGGAATCGACAAATCGAAATTTAACTTATTTAGAGAGTCCTAATTACCCCAATTTTTACCCAGAAAAAATCGATGAAGATGACTTAATAACTTTAAATGAAGATGATGAAGATTACGAATCAAATTCAAGAGAAGACATTGATTTGGGTCAATTCGAGGTTGATGATGATGATGAAAAGGAGCCCAGAGATGATGATTTGGGTGATTTAGCTTGTATTTTTTGGGTGGATAAAGTCTCGAAGGAAATTCAGCAAATTCGAATCGATTTTATTGATTTTGAGGTAATTGCTTAATTAATTTCTTTTAATTAATTATTTTTTTTTAATAGTTGATAGGGCCTTCACAAAATGGGGATTGTTTCCAAGAAAAATTTGTTGTTTCTGGTCAAAACATAAATAACATCCCGATTATTTGCGGATACAATTCGGGGCAACACTGTAAATATAATTTAATTTAATTAAAAAAATTAACCCTACAAAAAAAATTTTTTTTAAGATTACATCGACGTTAACGCCTTAAAAGGACCCCTACAATTCTCAATTTTATCAACATCATCGAACCCAAAACGTTATAAAATGTTGATAACCCAATTAAGCACGAATTGTAACAACAACAATAATTGTTTGCAATCTTACGACTCAATCAGTGGAGTTATTCAAAGTTTTAATTACGAATCATCGCAATTAATGAGAAGTCAACCTCAATATATGGTAAAAAAATTTAATTTTAATTAATTAAATTAATTTTTTTGTTTAAGAATAACTTAAATTACGCGATTTGTATCAAGAAATTACCCGGATTTTGCTCGATTACCTATCAAATTGATCAAAACGATGAGTTCGACTTAATTAATAATAATGAAGATGAAAAAATCGGATCATCTTCTTGTGAAAATGATTACATCGTTTTAAGTAATACTAGGATATGTAACGAAGGATTTACAACCTCAATTACGGGTAAATAACACAAAGATACATAATAATTTTCTTTGACCTTTTCTATTTCGGTATTTCGAGCTCATAAATAATTTTTTTTAGATAATAATCCAGGTCCAATCGTAATTAACGTCCGATCTGACGAGGAATACACTGGAAGAGGATTCAAAATTAATTTTAACCAAAATAAATGTTAATTTAAATAAACTTTAAAATTGTTTCTAAATTTTTGTTATTTTTCAAAGCACCGTTGAGAATACAACCAGCTGGTTCGAGAAACGAACGTTGAAATATTCAAGGGAATTCGAAACGATGCAGCAACCTTCCAGGTTACACTGCAACTTTTACTACTTCGCCAGCAATAAGTGGAACACCTCTACATACTGCATTACACCCGAGGGGGTTATTCTAGAATTTGAGTGGGCGCAAATGACGTTCTTAAGAAAATCCATTTGGGATTACGTGTTGTTGATTTGATTTTTTTTAAATTTTATTATTAAAAGAAATTAATTTATTAATTTACGAAATCTACGCTAAATTTCCTTTAATTTGAGTACAAACACGACTATTTTATTTTAAAAAATAAAAAAAATCGTTGACAGAAAATTTTCAAAATGGCGGAGTAATATTTAATTCGAAATCTAGGCTAAAAGTGCTTTGAAATGAGCCCAAACACGTCTACTTTATATTAATAAATAGAAAAATTACAAAAAATTGGGGTGATTCATTTCAAAATGGCGGAATAAATGACGTTTTATGTCATATTAGTAGTTTTTGAGATAAATTAGTCGTGTTTGGGCTCATTTGAAAACATTTTTTATTATTTACAAGATGGCGTTGAAGATAATTGGGAAAAATACAATTTTTGTAGCAACTGTCAAATTTAGTTAATTCTAAAATGGCGGATTTATAATCAAATTATTAATCTTGATTAAAAATCTTTTAAAATGAGTTCAAACACGATTACTTTATCTTAATAAGTAAAAAAATTGGAGTGATTAAATTTCAAAATGGCGGAGTTGACATTTTATGTCAAAATGGTGGTGTTTAAGATAAATTAGTCGTGTTTGGGCTCATTTTAAAGCAATTCCTATTTACTACAAGATGGTGGTTGAGATAATTAGCAAAAACAATTTTAAATATCAATTTTAATTAATTCCAAAATTGCGTATTAACAATTAATTATTAACCTCGATTAAAAATCATTTAAAATGAGCTTAATAAATAAGAAAAAATTTAAAAATTGACAATTGAATTTCAAAATGCCGGAATTAATGACATTTTATGTCACATTGCTGATTTTTAATATAAATTAGTCGTGTTTGGCTTCACATTAAAGCACTTTTTATTTCTTACAAGATGCTTTTCAAGGCAAATAAAATTTTTTAAATAAAATGGAACGATTTAACATAAATATCATTTTTGATGAAACCCTCATTGAATTTCCTTTAATTAGAGTACAAACTCGACGGGATTATCTCAAAAATTAACCGAAATATGACAGTTCAAAAATAGGCGTTCGTCGCTTGTTTTTCGAGCTGTCAAAAATTTAAACTTCGACATTTTCGTTATTTTTAAAGATAACTTGGTTGAGTTTGGACTCAAATTATCGCATTTTTCGCGGAGATTGCGATAATAATACTTTTTAAAATTTTAAAAATTAATTAATTTTAGCGGCTCATTTAATATTGGGGCGATATGGACATTCTCACATGGATATTCAGAAAAAGTTGATGTGGGGGTTAAAATTGATTTATCGAATGTGTTGATAGTTTCAGTCACTATGGTTTCCGGTGTCTACGCGATGATACATTATTAACCTCAACGGGTTATGGGTACTAAATGGAGATCATAGTGGGCGACTCCTTTTTTCACCGAGTACTTTTAGTTTAAAGTTTGCAAGCGCCGCGTAAGGAAATAGGCGGCGCCACCGGTTGGTTTGAATTTATTAATTTATCTAAAATAATTAATTAATTTTTTTTTGATTTAAATTAAAATTAAAGCAAATTTTTTTTGATTAATGTGTGATGAAAATACCCGTTAATTTTTCGCGTAAAAATTCGAACGAAATGGAGAATAACAATTATAAAGAAGTGAGTACGTTGTTCATGGAATCGGAGAAGCGGAAAAGTTCTCCTGGTGAGTGAATTTTATGCCCGTTTAAGTTCATAAAAAATTCATCTTCATGAATTGTTTAATATGCAGTCATTAAAACGGAAAGTTGTAAAACTAATCGATATATTAATTTAATTCTTTTTAGGGTCATCGAGAAGACCAAGCAACGAGAGCGGGTGCAGTTTCAACATGCCTTCGTACGAGCGCTTGGACACCCCATCGTATTTGAACAATACTCGCTCGAAATCTTTGGTTAATTTGCCAAAAAACCCAACGGGGAAGCTCTACGAAATCGACAACGAAGATCGCTTAAACGGAATCGAGGAAAGCCCGAGGAATAAATTGTCCCGAAGAAGATCTTCGTTGCAACTCGATAAAAGAATCGGGAAAAGCTCGATTCAACCGATAAGCACGCCTTTAGCCAAAGACTGTTTTGGGCCGCAATTAAACAACGACATCTCAAACACTTTACCCGGAACCCCAATCCCTTCTCTTGTACCAGAAACACCCGATTTTGATTTTGGCGCAACTCCCCCCATAACACCGATTGAAAAGGAAGAGGTACAAAAAATTATTTATTTTAAATTTTTAAACCAGCCTGTAAACATCAAAATTAATTATTTTTAAACGAACGCTCAAAAAGTGTCCTATGAGGTGTTCAAAATTGCGATTAAATAATAAATCAGTTAACCCACCTCATTTTTAATCGAACCGTTTAAATATTCACGAAACCCATTGATTTAAAAACACCTGTAAAACACGCAAACGACAGTTTCAAGTCGACTAATCAAAATTGTTTTTTCATTTAGACACCGGATCCGGAAAGTTTGTATTTTCGCGACGGTCGTCGTAAAATCGACATGGTCCTAGTATACGAAGAGGAAGAATTCGGCGTGATGACCGAGGCCGAGGCGAAACGGCGTGATCAACGCAAAACGTTCCAAGACAACCTAATGAAGGAAGGTTTAGAACTCGAATTGGAACACAAAGACTTAGCGTACGACGGAAAAACGTGGTTCCTTAAAATCCACTTACCCTGGAAAACGAAAACGAGATACGCGGCTGTTATGGGGATGAAACTCCCCACGAAACGGTTCATAACAATATCGGTTAAAGCGTGGGACGACGACAAAAACGCAAAGTTACAGAAAGGGTTTTATTCGCGTTGGAGGGACAAGTGGAAGGAAGTTTTTGAGTACGATCATGATTTGATTGATCCCGAACCATCGTTTTATGATAGCACTTATGGACCGGATCGCGAGGAGCAATTTATTGTTAAAGATCGCGTCACCGCGTATTCGAGCGCTCAAAGAAGTTTGATTGTTATGCAAATATTATTAAGAGTTAAATTCGATGACACCGATAAGGTGGGAATTCGAAGACTTTTAAATGACACGACCTATTTGGCTTGTTTCCCTTTGCACGAAGGGCGGTTTGATAAAGAAGATAGCTCGGGGAAAATTTTAGATCGGCGCTTACTGTACCTGCAATGGGCGAGGCCTTCAAAGTGGTACAAAAGACAACCTTTAAATATGGTTAGGAAATATTTCGGGGATAAAATCGCCCTGTATTTTTGTTGGTTGGGGTTTTACACGAAGATGCTTTATGCCCCGGCGATTGTGGGAACTTTGTGTTTTCTTTATGGGTTATTTTCGATGGATAGCGAGGATAATATTCCAAGGTAAGGACACTCTGTATATTATTTAAAATAGATTGATTCAAAAAAATTTTACAAATTTATACCACTTATTCGATATCTCCACTGTGGAGCGCTGTATATCGATTTAACAATGACATTTTGAGATTATCTCGATAATTATTGCTTTAATAAAACAATTTTTTTATTAAAAACAATTTAGAATTGAATAAAAAAACATTTTGATTAAATTTATTTCAAAAGAATAAATTTTAATTTTACTTTTTGATCACCCCTTGTATATTTATTAATTTTTAAAGCGAATCAAAAATTGTTTCGAATAATAATTGATCCAAATTTGATAAAACACTTTTTTTCTTAATAAATTTATTCGATATATCCGCTAGGGGGCGCTGTACACTATTTTAAAAGTGACATTTTGAGGATAGTCCATTAATAATTGATTTAATAAAACAACTTCATTAACAAAAAGGATTTAGCATCGCAAAAATAAAATTATATACACACAATTTATTCTACACAGGGTGTCTCACGTAACTGGTTCGTTAGAACTTTTTTTAGGTTCCAGTATTCGTACAGTTTTGAAATTTTGGTAGTATGGGTTGTTCAGTCAGAACTTTCGATCTAAAATATTTTCAAGATGGCTGCCACTTCCGGTCTACCGGAACTAGACCATAACTTAGTTATTTTAAATGGAATGCTATAGTTTTTATTACACCTTTTAATTGTACGTAAAAAAATATGTTGACTTTCATAAAAGTTATTGGTACCTAGCGTTTTTCGTTTTCGAGTTATTTTGATTTTAAGATTTTTTTGGCAAATTTCGCCATGCTCTTTAAAACCTTATATCCCAGCCAACGTTCTTTCAAAAAAGCTCTAAATTGGCACGATTACTCTTCAGATGCTGTCAAATAGATTGTCATATATTGTATCAGAATATCTTATACAGAATGGTCAAAAATTGAATTACCGTTTCTACATATTCAATGGGGAGAAAGTCGAAATTTTTAAATGGAACACCCCATTTTTTATTAGCCTACACGAAAGGGAATTTAATTCTCTACAATTTATCTATAAACATTCCTATACCTATTTATTGTAGTTTCTCTCATATTCGTAAATTTATCAAAACGTGCAGGAAATGCAGGAAACCGTTTGTATTTTATTAGAAGGCCATGACATTTTGACAGTTTTTTGTTTAATTTATTTATATTATTATTTGTACTATTAACTACTATTGATAACCTTTTAGTTTACTAGCTTTTACTTACCAAAAATAGCAAACAGAAGATCAAATAAATTAAACTATTAAAACAAAAAGTTAATGATAAAAATTAGATTTCAATAAAAATATAAATTTGTTATAAAATTGAATTTGGAAATGCAATAAAACACGGTAAAATATTTATTTCGTTGTCTTCATCACTGGTGACCGGAAATATGCGATTTCTTTTGGTCTCGATATATCCAGAACTAAGAAATTCTTTATCAATTCTTTGAAATTTTTCCTTGTGATGGGCGTTAGGTTTGTTAGGCATCTCTCGTTAAGTGTTCGACACGTCCTATCCAAAAGTTTATTACATTCGTCGTCAAATGTAACTAATGACAACAATAATACAAACATGGACCAAAAACTGTCAAAAATCCATAGCTTTCTAATAAAAAACCTGGATTTCGTGCATGTTTTAATAAATTTCGCAATATGAGGCAAACTGCAATAAATAGGTATGAGAATGTTTATAGATAATTTGTAGAGAATTAAATTCTCTTCCTGATAGGCTAAAAAAATATGGGGCGTTCCATTTAAAATTTTCGACTTTCTCGCCATTGAATATGGAGTAATTCAATTTTTGACCAGCCTGTATAAGATACTCCGATACAACAAATGACAATCTATTTGACAACACCTGAAGAGTAATCGTGCCAACGTAGATCTTTTTTGAATGAACGTTGGCTGAGATATGAAGTTTTAAAGAGCATGTTGAAATTTACCAAAAAAAGCTTAAAACCAAAATAACTCGAAAACAAAAAACGCTAGGTACCAATAACTTTTATCAAAGTCAACCTATTTTTTTACGTACAATTAAACGGTGTAATAAAAACTATAGCATTCCATTTAAAATAACAAAGTTGTGGTCTACTTCCGGTAGACCGGAAGTGGTGGCCATTTTGAAAATATTTTAGATTGAATGTTTAGAATGAACAACCCATGCTACTAAAATTTCAAACCTCTACGAATAGTGGAAACTAAAAAAGTTCTAACGAACCAGTTACGTGAGACACCTGTATACACAACACTGTATACTATACAGGTGATTAAATTGTACGTATTAATACAAAAAATTTTTTAGCAAAGAAATTTGTGATGAAAAAGGACCAGGCAACATAACATTATGTCCGATGTGCGATAAAGCCTGTAGATACCAAAAATTACAAGACAGCTGCAAATTCGCTCGATTAACCTATTTATTTGACAACCCAGCGACGGTTTTTTTCGCGATTTTTATGAGCTTGTGGGCCACGCTTTTCTTGGAACTTTGGAAACGGAAGCAAAGCGTTATCCAGTGGGAGTGGGACCTCCACGACGTCGAGCTAGACGAGGAGGCGCGCCCCGAATTCGAGACGAGCGTAAAAACGTTTCGAACGAACCCGGTCACCCGCGAGAAAGAACCCTATTTGCCGATGTGGTCGAAAGCGGCTCGATTTTTCGTTACTGGATCGGCGGTGTTTTTCATGGTAAATCTCATCAAATTTGATTTAAATTTTTTATTAAGAAATTTTTTAGATGTTAATAGTATTATGCGCCGTACTTGGAACGATTATTTACCGCTTATCTTTAGTGACGGTTATTTATGGGGGTGGGGGAGTCTTTTTGAAGAAACACGCGAAAATTTTTACTTCGATATCGGCCGCCGTCATCAATTTGATCATCATCATGTGTTTAACCAGGGTAATATTTATTTTGGTCGTTTATTTATTAAAAAATAACATTTTTGAATTAAGTTTTACCACAAATTAGCCATTAACCTAACAAACATGGAGAATCCGAGGACACACACCGAATACGAAGACTCATACACGTTCAAAATTTTCCTATTTGAGTTTATGAACTTTTATTCTTCGTTGATTTACATCGCGTTTTTTAAGGGGCGATTTTTTGATTACCCGGGGGATACTTTAACGAGATCGTCCGAGTTTCTGCGAGTTAAAGGGGATGTTTGCGACCCGGCCGGGTGTTTAAGCGAACTTTGCATACAATTGGCGATTATTATGATTGGGAAGCAAGTTTTTAATAATTTCTTGGAAATTTTTAACCCCAAATTTTATAATTGGTGGAGATGGAGGGCGCATCGCTCCCACACAAAAGATTTAACGCGGAAACACACGAGATGGGAAGAGGATTACCATTTGCAAGACCCCGGGAGATTAGCTCTTTTCGACGAATACTTAGAAATGAGTAATCACCCCAAATTTTAGCTCAGCTTATTTTTAACCATCATTTAATTTTAGTTCTCCAATACGGATTCGTAACACTTTTTGTGGCCGCGTTTCCGCTCGCTCCTTTATGTGCCTTATTAAACAACATAGCAGAAATTCGTTTGGACGCCTACAAAATGGTTACGCAAGCTCGGAGGCCCTTAGCTGAGAGAGTAGAAGATATCGGGGCTTGGTACGGGATTTTAAGAGCTATAACGTACTGCGCAATCGTTTCAAACGTAACTAATCACCAATAATTAATTTAGTTCACTTAAATTTTGTATTTTTAGGCCTTTGTAATCGCATACACAAGCGATTTCATCCCAAGGATGGTCTACAAATACAAATACTCCCCAAACGACACCTTAATCGGCTACATAGACTCCTCTCTCTCCGTTTTTAACACATCCCATTACAAGGAAAACATGGGTGGTGACACCACCGAAGAAGAAGCACCCCCAACCTGTCAATATCGCGGCTACAGAAACGACCCCGATAACGCAGACCCCTACGGATTGAGCCCGCAATATTGGCACGTTTTCGCCGCGCGTTTGGCGTTCGTCGTCATCTTCGAACACATCGTCTTTTTCTTAACGGGGGTTATGCAGTACATGATACCCGACGTTCCGTCCGAGTTAAGAACGCAAATACAAAGGGAAACTTTGTTGGCCAAAGAGGCCAAATACGAGCACGGTTTGAAAAAATCCGACTTCGATTACGAAGATTTACTTGGAACGATAAGGGAGAATAATAACGCGAGTAGGATTGAAAGAACTCCAGGTAAATTTGAAGTTTAGTTGTCAAATTTGACGTTTCATTTTTGACAAGTAAATTTGACGGCAAAATTAATTTGATATTCCGAAATTAATTTAATTTTAAGTTAAATTAGTGATTAAAATCGATTTCTTACCTTTAATTGTGATGAATCGGGGAACAGCATCTATAAAAAACAATTAAGAGTTAAAGTTTTTAATCGAATTCTCGCTGATAACTTGGATTGAACTACGTTAAGAACACAAAAACACTATATTCTTCCTTTTTTATTAATTAACACGCGATTTTTAATCGATTTTAAACCAAAAAAATTTCACCTACAAATTATTTTTTGACAACTGAAAACTGACATTAACTGGTGGTGCCATCTCTGAGTGATTTGACGTATTACACGAGAATTTATGATTTAAATAATTTAAAATTTATTTATTTATATCATTTAATAAAAAACGTTTCATCATTTCTTTCTAATAGATTTATACATTTTTACAAGAAGTAGTTTAATTAATGTCATTAATTAAATTTATTTAATAGAAATAAAAACATTGATTAAAATACCAAATTAAAATTAAACTAAAATTGGAATAAATACAGGTTAAAAGCAATAAATTAATGTAATTAAATCATTTTTATTCTTATTTTAATCAATTATTATTTTAAATATAGAGTTTAATAATTACTAAAAAAATATTTAAGCCACCTTTATAAAGGTATAATCACTAATTTATTATATTAAGTTGTGATTTATTCAACTATTTAATTTTTTTATAGCTATAAAAGGTCCGTGGGCAAGAAGATTAAGCAAGATTTCGGATGGTTTGGACGCGCACGTTGAGGTGACCTCAAAAAAAAGGAATTCGAATAATTCTACGGTTTGGGAATATACTTAACGATTTCTTTTGGCTCGTCTTATTCAAACGAATTAGAAGAATACTATGTATATAAATAAGAGATAACTTGTAAATATGTTAAGTAATTCGATGTAATTGTTTTTGCAACTATATTTAATAAATTACATTGTTATTAATTTTCTTATCGATGTTACAAGAAAAAGGACAACTTTAATGATTGTTGATTATTATTTTAATTGATATAAATTAAAGAAAATTGTTTAAATATGTTGTTAAAGTGCTTAGATTGATTGAAAATTAATGGTGGCGTTTTGAATAGTTATCAGAGATACTACACAATATTAAAAACAATCGTGATTTAGTTGATATCGAGAAATCGACGCGATTAAACTATTAAATCAAAGAAAATGTTCAGTAAATTAGCCCCGATACAAATTGAATGTAAGAATTATGTTCATCCATGGACCGAAAGTTGTTTGGAAGCTACCATGGGGGCTTACATCCAAGCAATTATCTTTGCTTTTAAAATATATGGTTCAGTACATTTGGTAAGTTGATTTAAATTAATTAATTTTGTAATTAATTGAATTTTTAAGTTGGCATTGTTGATGAAAGGGATACCACCTCGGAAAGATGACATCAAAAAAACATTAATAGGAATTTTCCAATCATCAGCCTTTTTAAGTGGAAACACTTTTGGATATTCATTATTTTTATGTATTTTTAGACGAGTATTAGGAAACTTCAACATTTTAACCGCATCATTTGTACCATCATTTCTTGCAAGCATCTTTGCGATATTAATCGAGAAACCATCAAGAAGAACGTTATTAGCGTTATACTTGAGTAATATAGCGACTGAAACTGTATGGAATATGTTGGTTTCGAGGAAAACGGTGCAACCAATTCGTTTTGGAGAAGTTGCAATTTTTGCAGGGAGTATTTCGGTGCTTTTAACAATTTTTAGAAGCGGCTTGCACTTGATTAAAAATGAAAAACACATTGATCCATTATTTAAAGTATTGAGGTAAGCACTTGATGTCGAAAACGTGCCACTTTATTAAGTAATCCGTATCGACTCGATGTGTGAGTTATCTTATTTATTTATTTAATTATCTTTTAGGCTAATTATTGGGAAAGACGAAGAAACAATCAAAAAGACGAAGAAGTTGTGCCCACACCGTTTTAGTTGCTTAAATTACATTTTAAAAGTATTAAAAAAAAATTTATTTGAATTTAAATTGATATTAATAATTACAGGGAACATCAAAAATCTTTTTAATAGGCTTATCGATCCAACTTGGCATAAAACTCGTTTTAAACGCAAAAATTTTAGTTAAAACCCCAACAAAATTCTTCTTCGAAAGCATTTTTCGTTTAAACTCAATTAAATTGGCGACGTTTTTAGCGGGAACTTGCGGAATATTTCGAGCCGCATCCTGTTTTTTGAGGAAAATCACCGGGGAAGATCACTTTATGTACGCAATCCCCGCAGGGTTATTAGCAGGAATTGCGTTCACGCAATACCCCAAAAAAACCATTGCTTTATACGTTTTATGGAAAACCCTACATGTGAGTTAAAATTGATTCAATCAAAGTTAACGCCTCCTTTTAGATTGTTTATAACTTAGGAATCGATCACAATTTGGTGCCCGAAATTCCAGGATTTAATATGATACTATACTCACTTAGCGTAGCGATTTTATTCCATACCGCGATGTTTGAGCCACAAAATTTGAGGCTGAGTTATTGGAAATTTTTGTACAACGGCTCCGCAGGGAGAATAGCTTGCATGGATAGAAGCGCATTTGAACCGTGGGGATTTGGAACGTTGGAGGGATTGGCCGAAACAATCGCGAAAGCAAAAACGCCGAAAGTTATTCAATTTACAGGGATTAAATGGTGATTCTTTTTTTAAATAAATTTAATTTTGTTTTAACATTAATCTTCATAAAAAATGCTTTAAAATGTACCCAAACACGAAATGTTTATCTTGAAAAACTAAAAGTAGCCCCACTTCCGGTTTAACCGGAAGCAATTCATTAATTTAAGAAAAACCATCTTGCGTGTACTCTAATAGAAGGATTTTTAATTTTGAGTTTATTAAACGCAACTTGTCTTAATAAAATATTAATGCGAAAAAAATTTGCGCTTAAACCGGAAGTAGTTAATTTATTGAACAAATCATATCGTACGTATACTATCAATTTCTAAATAGATTTATTTAAATAAAATAATAGCTATAATAATAAATAGATTTACAATTTATAAAAAAGGGATTTCCATATATATACTATCTAGTATAGAAGATATTATATATATGGGGATTTCTTTTGTGAGGTTAATGTTGCAAAATGTTTATTGTTTCGAGCGCCATCTCTGTTTGGTTAATTACTACTAAATAAAGTTATTATTAAATATGAACTTTTATTGATTTTTTTTGTAATAAATACTTAAATTTCACATTTAAATCGCTTTCTGGAATTAAATATCATTGTTGTTATTTAATTTATATTTTTGGAAAGCTTGTTTTTGTCAAAAACCTGACGTGAAGTTGGAATTAAACATAACCTCAAATTATATTTTAATATTATTTTCATTATTTCTTATTGTGTTTTAAGTAATACATGAATAAAAGCTTTTTTACATAGAAAATGAACAATTTTTATTTACATCATAACAATATCAAATAAATGTAACAAAAAAAAATTTGTTTAATAATATCATTTTGAACCTAAGTTAAAGAACGCAACAAAACTTTCAACATTCGTCATTCAAAACAAACTGGGGTTATAACAATATTAATTTTTAATTGATCGTTATTCGGGCCGATTAAATACTTGGTTTCGTAGGGTTTCCCGTTACTATTATTATTAATAACTGTTGGATTTAATTCTTCGAACGGTATCAAATTGTCCAAATTTAAAACCCTCGATTGCGAATTAAAATAATGCACTTTCTCAATCGTTTTTATCACAAATTCGATCCCACCTTGTTTCGCGTACAATAAAATCCCAATTCTAACCTTCATGTCATCTTGGGGGATTTCTCGACAAGTCAAAGATAACCTCACCGTTGAAAAAATTTCCCCTGGAATTTCAATTGGGCCTTGCCACAAGATTAAATAACACTTTTGAAACCAAACCCCCTTCGGGTATAAATCCACAACCCATTCGTTAATCCGATCGGAGTCCGAATCGGTCGCGGAGATATGCGAGGAAAACAAAAACGTGCTTGTATGATAATTCGGTAAATTCCTGAAGTGATCAATACATAAAATTGAGCTGAATAAATCTGAAATGTATAAACGAGGGTTAAACAATAATTTTCCCTTATCGGTTTCTAATATTGTTTTAATTATTGTGTCATTTTGCCCAGAATGAAAGACCATTGCAATCGTCATTTGATTCACGAAGAATTCTTTGTATTTTTTAACCAACGGGGATAATAACAACTCAGCGATTTCCTTTGGGTTCATCATAGGAAATCGAATATTTGACATGATCATCTCAACTAAAATATCCATTTGCTTGTCAACGTCCCGGAAATTTAATCCGTTTTGTATCAACTGAATTCTTTGCAAATCCAACCATCGTACCATAAAATTATACAAAACCATCTCGTTATACACAATCAAATCATTTTGTTGCAACAAATTAATCACTAAATCAACATCTAAATCACTAAAATCCGGACTGTTCGCCACCGCGCTCAAATTCCACTTAATGTAGTTGTAACATTTCGATGAAACCTCTTTGTGCCCGCACGACATCGTGTATTGGACCCAAGAGAATAAAACGTTGTGGGCAGCGGCTTGAGGAATGTGCGTTGACATGTATTCTAAGCATAATCGGCTTAAACTCTAAAATTAAAGAGTTAAAACAAAAATTTTAATAAAAAATTGATTACCTTCACTATGTATTTATCGGCTAAAGCTAAAATAGCCATAACATTGTTATAAGTAATAATAATTTTCCCCGTATAAAAATATTCGAGAAAATTCCCAAAGATAACCTCACATTGCGGGAGTTCTTGGAGAATAACTCGAGTTTTGTAACACTCGCTCCATTCGGGTTTACTCAACATAGCCTTAATCAAGAAAATATTAATTTAATTAACAACATAGAATCAAAAACAACCTGAAACACATCGCTGCAAGCGCACAAAATGAGCCGGTGCGCCGGGTGCTCTTTATCCCCAACGACTAAATTGATATCAGTCATTAATTTCTCGTGGAACAAATTACGCATCGTTTTTAAAACATTTTCCGAGTTATCAACCTAAAAAATGATCGATTTTATACATTCCACAAGCTCATCTCGACAACAACTAACAGCCATTTGGCAAGAATTTTCCATCTCCAAATTGGCGCACCTCCTCGATTTACTCGGCGAACTCTCATCGTCGCAATCAACGCGAAAATTCCTTAAAAATAGTTTAAATAAAAAAAATTTATTAAAATAATTTATTTCAATCTGTCAAAACAAAAAAGTGAGGTTATATTACCACATTTTAAGTCTTAATCAACTCACTTATTCTTATTCATGTCGGCTTCATATAAATAAGATTAATTCGGCTAAATTTGAGTTATTTTTTAAGATTGAATCGAATTTTTATCTAAAAACTCATTTTAATTAGGTTTATCGCTAAAGTAAACATAGATTTTAAATATATTAGACAAACCCAAAAAAAAATAATCCATCTTTGTCGCACCACAAATTACAATTACGACATCTTAAACGCAAAAGAAAATTACCACCACCTCCATTTTAAAACGTCAATTTCCCCAATAACATAACCTAAAAAATTGTACTCAAACACAATTATGCTGTAATTAAAAAATAATAAACCATGGCAGACCGATTAACGCAATTGCAAGACTGTATTAATCAAGTAAAAATTTTTTTTTATTATATTCATCAATTTCGTTTTATATTAACAATTTTGTTTTAGCAAGCCGAACATTTTTGTAACAGCATTGGAATACTGCAACAATACGCTGCACCGAGTAAATTCCCCGGCTTCGATCGTAGCGGGTCTCAAACGCCCCAACAACAACAGCCACAAGAAGATTACGTTCAATTGTTTACGACGTTAATCGCGAGGTGCTCAAAAGACATCGATACATTAATCGAGTCGTTGCCTTCGGAAGAAAGCTCAACCGAGATGCAATTACAAAGCTTGAGAATACTTGAAAATGAAAATCAAGAGGCTGCAAGAAATTTAGAAGAGATTGTAGCGAAAGGACAAGATTTACTCGAACAAATTCAAGCGGCATTAAGCGATATTGCCCAAGCCCAACTTGAAATGCAACATTTAACGAAAGGATTTAATAATAATGAATAATTAAAATTTTTTTATAATCAGAATGAATCATTAAATACCTTTAAAAATTACTTCACTTTAATTCCATTCGAATTCAATTTAATGATGATGTTAATCAACTTAATATTATTCACTTCATTTATTGGTGTTTACTCCACATCAATAAATTATATTTCCCCGAAACAAACCGCACCTAAAGGAAGTGTCGTTGAATTGAATTGCTCCTTTACAGCCCCGAATGAAGCATATGAGGCAATTTGGACCAAATTAGAGCCAACAGGAAATCATGTTATTCTTGGTGTTTCAAAGAAAATCGCCGTTTTGGATCCGAGAATATCAATTAAATACGATAAAGTAAGTTAAAATTATTTTTTGTAGGATAAAATAACAAATTCCTTAAAAATCGTAGAAATTGCCTTCGATTATCTTGAGAATAAATTCGGCTCAAATGGAGGATTCTGGGGTTTATGCGTGCCAAATTGTTATTCCGAGCTTAAAAATACTTATTTCGTCCCGAACAGAACTAAAAGTATTACAATAAATGATAATAAATAGTGAATAATTAATAAATTTATTAACATAACCTAAAAAAATGTTAATTTACTCGATAGATGGCAACACGCTTTATTCTCCGAGTTTCATTTAAAAGATAATATATTATAATTATTTAATTAACAAATGCTTTCAATAATAATTAAAAACGGTTAAAATAAAAATCATAAATTAATTAATATTTAATTTAATTTTTATGATTTGAAGTAGTTAGAAACCAACTTCACATCTTTCCGTTGTTAATGACATTCGTTGGGGGTGAGTTCACGAATTTTTTTAAAAATCTACGGGAAAATCACCATTTCAATTGTAAAAATCACCCAAAACGTTTTCTTCGGGACGCGATGTAACGTTTAAAATCAATTCTCGGCGGAATTCGGTGATTTTCCGAGTTGAAAATTCAAAAGTAAAATGTTGATTAAATTCGTAATTTGTAGCCATCTTGGAAATGTGACGTTGCCGCTTCAATTTTGACGTTAACCTACAAATTTAAAACGAAAATAAAATTCTTTTTATGGAAGGAAATGAAGAATTCGTAATAAAAACCAGGTTAGTTTATTTTTTATATTAAAACGATTAGAATATACGACCTAAAAAGATTTTTTAATATTGACTGCGTAAAGTTGAAATTAACTCCGATAGATGGCACTAGTAAAGCTGAGTTTTTAATAAACGTCAAATGATGACGTTCAAAATGAATTTTGTATGATTATTTTAACCTAAAAATGCAATAAATCAATTTTATTTTCTATTGCGCACACTTTGAGAACCACTGACATATATTATATTACATTGCAGTAGTTTCTGTAATGCGAAGCGCGGCGACACTATCGCTGTGCCGTTGCGGTGCTATGCAACCGCAAACCGCTTTGCCAGTTGTGTAGCTGACCGCAGAACGTTCGCGCACGACGCCGCGCCTTATTTTTAAAAATGACATCCTTTTCAAAAGAAGACGAAGAGAAGCTAATAAATATTGTTGCTAAAAATCCAGTACTTTACGACAAATCTCATGGTAGTTATCGCGATAATTTAGTTAAAGATAAAGTGTGGAGAGCCATAGGAAAGGAGGTTAAGCGAAACAGTGAGTATTTATTTATTAAGGTTAGCTAATAAGTATTAAATTTTGACAATATTGCAGGTGAAGACTGTAAAACAAAATGGAAATTTATTCGCGATGGTTATAAACGATTCAAGAAAAATCATACATTAGGCATTGGTTCAACAGCCGCGAAACATTCCAAACAAAAAAGACACCAACTTCTATTATTTCTAGACGACGTTCCCGAACACAGATCTGGAAGTTCTAATTTACCCCCGTCGCCAGAGGGACTAGAAATTAATGAAGAAATAGAGGAAACTAAGGATCAATTAATTTTAAAGGAACAAGACGCATCGAACGATGATGAGCCACCCTATACAGAGCATAATAGCGACAAGGAGGAGGCAATTGAAGTCGAGATGAAGAGAAGGCTCAAACAAGAATCAATTTTACACCACTTTAAACAAAGAGATGAACAGAGAATTCCCGCGAAAAAGGCTGATGACGATATAGAATTGTTTGTCCGTTATATGGGTGAAGTATTGCGAAGTTTGCCACCTGTAGAGAAAGCGCAAGCAAAGAAACAGTTGCACGCAGTTCTTTCGGACTATGAAATAATGGCGGCGACATATTTATCTGGCAGAATCGATTATTAGTTTATCTTTTTTTGTTTGGCATATAGTAACAACTCATTACGTTCATCTTCTAATAAAAACCAATAACAAACTATCGAACAAGTTGGAATTCAGACATTGCGGTCGACCTCAGTCGCAAGGTAGCCTGTGTTTGCGGTCTGCCGCTCACCTCAAATCAATGGTATCGAAACAAGTATAGAACATTTTCGAGTGTACCTATCATCTCTGAAAGCCTTATAAAATACAAAAGAATCACGCGAATGTGTTAATCTTGAGTAAATTAGAAGTTGATGAATAGATCTACATTTCTTGTTTTGATATAAATATAGCGAAGTAAAATGGATACATTTGACGCAGACTAAATGATTCAAACTTGTTAGGACGAGGCGCCACAACAGACTCTGCACCAATACAAAAGTAGGCAGTATTTATTGCCTAATTCAAAGTAGAGATTGAGCCACAATAGAGTTCAGCTGCTTTAATGATAGAGACTGAACGAGTAAAAATTATTAAGCCAAAGCGTCACAATACGCTACAAAGCGAGGCAACACCTATTGTAATACTTCGGCCGCAAGCGACCTCGGCTGACACTGAATAATGAAACCATATTAAGCCAAGCCATCACAATACACCCTCATTATTATAAAGTTAGCCAACACCATATTACATTGCCCATGACTAAATTAAACCAAGGCCGTTTACAGATCAGTTTAGCAAAGAATATTGTACACCAACACAAAATGTATGATGATTTAGAAATGATGGAATACGTTTTTAGGTTAAAATGATATTAGTTTAGTGAAAATTACAATATTTATTTACATATTTCCAAATTACTCTCCACATTCGCCTTTTTTAATTAAATATTATATCGAATATAATAATAATAAATGTATAAATAAACAAGTTTTTCCCTTTTCTTATTCACTTCCGTTTTCTTTTCCACGTTTTTACTTTTTTTTTTTTTAATTTATATGATAAAAATTAAATCATAACATTTCTTTTTAAACTTTTTGTAGTGGATTAAAAAACGAAAGTTACAAATAAAAAATAATAAAAAATCACAGTGTGTACCAAGTTTTCAAACAGCGCTATAAGGAGAAACACTTACAATCCGTTCTTAACCTCTAAAATAATAATAATAATAATAACTATACATGTAATGAATAATTTTATTTCTGTTTGTGATTTCTTTTAAATGTGATTCTCGTTATTACTTTTTTTTTAGTGTGCAAACTTAAAAATTAATTGTTAAAGGAATTATTTTGTTCGTTTATCAAATTTTTTGATTCAATTAACTAATTATTTATCTTTTCGAATTTTAACACAGCACTAACTACATCGAACGGTTTTTTTCCACCTTAATTCCGTGTAATTGACGTTCTTACATGATTTTTACGTTTCATTAACTATTTACAAAAAAAATTATAATTAAATAAGAAATAATGGAAATTAATGATATATTACACGTTTTTTTTTTTAACACTTCTTCCGTTTAAACTCGTTTCAACCAAAATTTAAGTTATCAAGTTTAAATTTTCTTAATTAATTATAAAAGTCTTTAATTAGATGATGAACGAATGTCTTTTTAATTTGTTAATTTTATTTTTCCATTTTTTCTATCACACCTCCAAGTGTTTTGCTGTTGTGAAGGATTTAAACGGCTCAGACCACATTCTTCTCAAATCGCCCTAATAATACAAGCGGGAATTAATAAGAACATGAAACAACTTCTGTACTTACTTTTAAATAGGCCATAGTTAATAAAGGTAGCAGCGTGAAGGGCACAAGATATAAAAGGGCTGGTTGGGCGGCTTTAAACACCTCCGAGCTAACTGTAGCAGTTAAGAGACCGAGGAAATAGCCGAGTAATGAACAGTGAAAATAGGTCAGGCGCGATCCGGTCAAACCTTGCGATTTCTTGTACGCATCGTATCTCAGAACGAAGCACAACAATAATCCCGGCATGACGATATCACCAAGACCTAAACAAATTAAATTAATTTTTATTAGGCTACACTTACGCCCTAATTACCCAACATGCTAAAATGACCAGAATTATGTATACTAGGAAAAACCAGCTTCCCCGGTAAAGATAACTTTGGGGCCTCTTTGGCTACAGTCCCCAAATGAAGCTTTCTAGCTACCAAGCCAACGGGGTTATCAGCGGGTCTTGTTGCAACCTAAAAAATGTAAATGTAGAATCATTTAAGAAAAATCGTAAGAACCCACCTTAACCATAACATTTGTGCTAAAAATATACGATGAGAAAAACACCCAAAATACATCATATATTAACAATCCCGTTAATAGTAACGTAGATACTTTTAAACTCGGTAATCTTACGAATGCTATAAAAGCTACGCATAAACCCATCCCCATCGCGTCCATCAATAACCAATGACCTAACCTCAAAAAAATCACAAATAATTATTAATTTCGATTAAAACAACGTTTGTCTTCGTACCTGTTAACACCCAAATGCAAACGATAAACACTGAAAGCGAAAACGATAATAATTCGGCTCCGGTGAATCGGCCGCACATTCCAAAAGAGATTTTATTGCCATCCGAACACGGTCTGATTATGTACTGGCACATTGGGAGGAGTAAAAATGCCAGTGCTACAGTTGCTATTACTAAAAAATAATAATAATGAACTAAAAATTTAAAAAAAAATTTTTAAGGTTATAATTATTACAAATTTTCTTCTCAGTCTCGATTATTTCATAATTTGATAAGATTTAATTATTATAGTAATTATTCATTACTTTGATTGAATTCCTTTTTAATTAATCAGTATTTTGCAATCAATTACATAAATTTAAAAAAAAGTGAGGTTAGAGTTAAAAAGATTAAAAAAAACATCATGAAGTTGTCCATTTGTCTATTATATGATAACTAACTTCAAGTTTAAAATGTCAACCTCAAATTTTGACTTATCTTCAGACCCAAGGATAACCCCAAATGTTTCTAGTTTTAGGTCTAGTGTTAGTTCTAGTTTTAGTGCAATAAAAATATGCAATATAGGGATATCTTATGCTAACTAGCACTAAAAAAAATTTTGTTTGAGGTTATAATTATTAAAATTTTTTTTTCTCAATCTCGATTATTTAATAATTTGATAAAATTCAATTTCAAAATAGGACAAAACCCATTATTGATTGCTAATAATTATTACTTTGATTGCATTCCTTTTTAATTAATCACTATTTTGCAATCAATTACTTAGAAATAAAAAAAAAAAAAGTGAGGTTAGACTAAAAAAAGATTATTAAAATTCTAACCTACAAAAATGAAATTAACATAAACTTATTGATTGGTAATAATTATTTCTTTGATTGACTTCCTTTTTAATTAATCACTATTTTGCAATCACTTAGAATTTAAAAAAAAAAGTGAGGTTAGATTTAAAAAACTTATTAAAATCTTAACCTAAAAAAAATTAAATTAACACAAACTTACTTGCCGTACAAATAGCAAACAACATTTGCATCGAATCGAAAAAGAAAAACATCACCAACAACGATATGCTCGCCCCCAATGGTAAACAAAGTGCTTGCAACGTATCCAATGTTTGAACGTTCGTTTCAGATTGTAATTGCGTTGTGGGATGTAACAAACAATTAGTTGTTCCGGCGGCTCTATCTCGAGCTTCTTGTTCCATGTTTAAACTTCGAAACGATCCGTAAACTATCAACAACATTGAAATTAAAAACGTTGAAACACGACTTGAATCTACGATATTGTAAGCCCATTGGTACTCGACCGTTTGTTGACCATTCGCATCAGCCATCGTTAAAACAAATCAATTTTATAATTAAAATTGATCGGGGGACACTTTTTCCTCCTATTTTTGTTCCAATTTTGAGCGCGTTTTAAACACACCCGAGTTAATTTGACTATCTGTTGAACAAGAAATAAACGTACAAATTAAAAAAAGAAAATTTAAAAAAGTAATTGGGTATCAGTGTGCTTAGATTATGATTTGACTGATTTCAATGATTTATGGTGAATTATTTTTTGCAGGGTAACCTAACCTTCTTTGCCGGGTTGTTGGTTCAACTCTGAGAGCCCCGTTTTCGACTGAATTCATCACTGTTCGTCGTTTATGCCATTCATTTTCGTGTATTATTCATTTTTTTTGATTGCGCTATATACATACGGTTATGTATACAGTGACCGCCATGATACATTTCTTCAGAAACTGTTATGTACGTAAGCTCAACAAAAGTTTTTTAAACCAATTTTAAAAGTTTTTGTGTTAAATATGTGAGAAATCAATAAAAATCGTTAATTACAGTTTAATTCACTGAAATTATTGATTATCGTTAATGATTTTAATTAAAACATTAATTTTTCTTGGTATAGAAATTATTTTTTGTGCGTTTTCTTTTGATTGTAGGTGTAATTTTCACCGTAAACTTTCTCCGAGTTATTTCACGCATAAAGTGTTATGTGTGCCCCCTTTTTTTGTTTGTCGTAGGTGTTGTTGAGATGATTGTCCGGTTATTGTTCACGAAGTAATTAAGAATTTGTGGGATTTCTCACAATTTTTAAAAATTAATCGTGGTTTTTATTAAGAGGTTATGCAACCCAAATTACATTTTAAGGTTATTTTGTTCACATTTAATTTTTATAATTATTAAAAATTTATTGATTTAAAGCGACTAAGAGGAGTAAATATAAATTTAACATTGTACGATGACTCTAATTAGGCTGCATAACTGAATCGGAAATTGATTTTACCAACTTTGTTTGATCACACCATGGTTAATTATGTTAATTACTCCAAATTAATTATTTTCGTGGCTTTATATAATAAGAAATGAGACAATTTTGGTTTTAATTCAAAATCAGAGTTTCATTTTTATAAAATTAGCTGCAAACTGTTGATTTTCTAACCTCTACAAATAAAGCATTTTTATTTAGTTTAATATAATTTATAAGTAAACGTTTTTCTTACCAGATTTTCCTTATTAATATCTTTTTTCGGTTGAGCTTAAAAGCTTTAGAACATCATAATACTCTGTATATCCATGGTAACAGGAGATCATAACCTAATAATTTCGTTCTAACCTCAAAGTGTTGCTATTTGTAACATTTTTAATGAAATTATAAGCTTAATATTATTCATTTTTCCAATATTAATTGTTGTTAATTAATAATAGGAACTTGATGAATGAGTTTGTGTATCTAGGACGCATCGAAAATAATAACGGATTGTTCCTCTCTGTTTCTGACATTTGGTGACATTGTCAAAATAAAATTAATTGAATTTTTGAGGTTATGACATATCAGTACCCCTCCAGAGTGCCATGACGCCGCAAAACATTTCTCATTTGTTCTTGGAGTATAAACAATCAATCCGTCAAAAAAAATTTATATCAATCACTCCAATTTTTTTATTTTCATAATTTCTAGAAGAACCATCCCGTTTTTTAACCGACGTCCTTCACATCTTCCATCCTAAGAAGCCAATTCGAGAAAGATTTAAAAAGAAATTTTAAAAATTTAAGAAAATTTGACGAGAGAAAGTAATTATTAAAAGACGAAGCTCCCTCTATTGATCGGAAGCGGTAATAACGACTTGGAAACGTGAAATTGGGTGTAGAAAAAAATTTTTACATTTGGTAACTGACGTCACACCGTTAGGCGGCTCTTTTAACTGTCGGTAAGTTGTAAGCGCTGTTTTACCATCTTCGGCAGAGACACGAAGGTGTTTCGCGAGTTTTGCGTGCGCGTCAGTTGAGTCGAAGCTTAGATCGTGCGGCCATTTTGGTTGCACAGAGAACGAAAGCATCTTTCGAACCGTGCGGTGTGTTAAAGAAGAGGAGAACGTCGCAAGACTCCGAAGCTTATTTTATTATTAAGAAATAAGTGAATAGGGGGCGAAGGAAAAGGCAACGCCCGGGAACAAGAGCCGACGTTTTGAGAGAAAAAAGTAGTTCGCGGCGCGGCGGTTCCCCCGGTTCCGGTATTTGTTGGTTCTTCAACACACTTTCGACGAACCCTTAAAAAAGAGTCATCCACATCCATCCGATAATGTCCGAGAGGGAGGACAACGTGTACAAGGCCAAATTGGCCGAACAAGCTGAAAGATACGATGGTGAGTTGTATTTTTTATGTTGATTTAGTTTTTAATGATAAAATTATCATTTTTTTGGTTATAAACTAAATAATTTTTTTGAGATATAACCTAACTTTCTCTTATAAACCCCCTTTTTTATTTTATTTTTTTTAATCGTTTAAAAAATCAATTTTTCTACCAAACTATACTATTTTTTGGGGGCCCCCCGATGTTGTCATGACAACCGGTTGGGGATATTGATCTAGTTCTCTGGGACTGCGCGCGATGATGAGAGACGAAGACGGATCGAAGAGAAATGGGTTAGAAAGGGATGGAAAAAGGGGCGTTCGTCTGTGTGGGTGATTTTTTTCTTCTCGCGATTCTAAAATTTACTTCGGGGTCACCGTTAAAAACTACGCCCCATTTACCCCTTAAAACGTCGAAATAATTCCCCGAAACCATCTTTTTAATCAGTTTAATAAATTTAAATTAGGGCGTTGTTCTTCTTTGCATTTTCTTCAACTTTGTTAACAATTAATTCAATAAAATTAATTTTTAGGTTATGTCACCTCACTTTTTCTTTCCCTTCAATAGAATAAATGCTCCTTATTGGTTGAATCGTCAATTTGTGGTTATTTAAAAATAAAATTAAGTTTTAGTTTGTTCAAATTGGTGGTAAATGTTGCTAAATGCGATAACTTCTTAAATACAGTTTGAGGTTAATTCATAACCTCAATCGATATATTATTTTATTTTTAATAAAAAAATTGACGTTTCTAAGATGGATAAAAATCGATAGATGGCGTTTCAATAACTAAATTAATTTAATTCTACTTCTTATGGCTGGTATTGTGTCAAAGTCAATTTTTCTTAAAACGGCGTTAATCCGCTTGGAATTTCTCACCAACGATAAAATAATGTACCGTTATTATTAACATACGTTAAAAAACGTGGGGAATTTCATTTAATGACGTATTAACATATTTAGTTGAAACGAAATTTTTTTTGAGGTTATGTCGAAAAAAATCTTTTATTTAACTTATTATAAAGTAAAAAGAAAAACGGAAATAATTTCCACGTGCCTAACGTCCTCGAGTACACTCACACCGGAAGTGCACGGTCGCGGGAAACCAATTATAAAATTATTACCTCTTAACAAGGCGAGTTTTTTGACCTTTTTTTTTATCTCTTACGAATCAATATTTGCCTTTTTTTAGTTGTTATATTTTTATTATAAAAATGCGTTAACACACTCGTAATTGTTATCAATTAATCTATTTTTTTTTAATTAACAAGTTTGTATGCGGAGGGAATTACTCACAGCTGACTCATCGACCGTTCTCGTACGTAAAATCGTTTTTAAACCGTCGATCCTTTTCAGACAACGACAGTTGGTGTCGTTTTCTTTTTTAAAACCATTTTCTACGTGCCTTATGGTTAATATAAAGTGGAGGTCAATAACCTCTTTGTATTTAAATTATTTTGCCATAAAAAAATCTAAATAATTAGTTGTTGATTTTTAATTAACTAATAGATTTAAATTAACTAAGATTATCAAAAACTATTTATTAGCGGTTTATTTATGACGTTTTGAAGGTTATGTTGCTTACTTAAAAACAATTATGTTTTTAATTTTTAACAAATTAATTATTAAATTTACATCCCTCCGGATAAAATTAAGTTAAATTTGTAAATAATTTTTTCTAAAAATGAATTGGGTTATTAGTAAAATTTTCGTTTCATGGATTGGTATTATTTTTTATCCTACTGTCCAAGTTTTGTATCGAATTTTATTAAAAAAATTTCGAAAAATATGGTTATAATGCAAGTAATTATACTTGATCATACAATTATACAATTAGGTTAGTTTGACTTATTTCAATAACATTTCTATATACATCTGAATCTTTTTTCACCCTAATTTACCCCATAGACATAAATTATTTTATTGATTTTTTGCCCTTTAAGGATTTCTTCATGAAAACTTATTATTGAAGATCCATTTTATGGTTATTCTTTAATTAAATCGTTGAAAATATAAATCTCATTTAATGTTTTTGAAGTTATGTTGAAAATAATTAGAGGTTGGTAACACTTCGCCCTGAAATTCTTAAAACGTCAAAAAAAGTTTTTTGAGGTTAATTTTTATAATTTCACATATTTAATTCAATACAAAAAAATTAGATAAATAAATCAGTTTAATTTTTTTAAAATTTTTTAGAAATGGTCGATGCGATGAAAAAAGTGGCAAAACTTGATGTGGAGCTAACCGTGGAGGAACGTAACCTGCTCTCGGTTGCTTATAAGAACGTGATCGGTGCCCGACGAGCATCGTGGCGGATAATTTCGTCGATTGAGCAGAAGGAGGAATCAAAGGGAACTGATGATAAATTGGAAATGATCCGGCAGTATCGCGGTCAGGTTGAAAAGGAATTGAGGGATATCTGTTCCGACATTTTATCTGTTTTGGATAAACATTTAATACCGGCTGCTTCGACGGGAGAATCCAAAGTAAGTTAATTAACATTTTTTAATGATATATTTGAAATAATTTAATTTTTTTGTTGAATTAGGTGTTTTATTATAAGATGAAGGGTGATTACCATCGATATTTGGCAGAATTCGCGACGGGTAACGATCGCAAAGATGCAGCGGAACACTCCTTGGTAGCTTACAAAGCGGCGAGCGATATCGCGATGACAGAGCTACCACCCACGCACCCAATCCGTTTGGGTTTGGCGCTAAACTTTAGCGTCTTTTACTACGAGATTCTCAACAGTCCAGATAGGGCGTGTCGCCTGGCGAAGGCAGCGTTCGACGACGCCATCGCCGAATTGGACACGCTTTCCGAAGAAAGCTATAAAGATAGCACGCTCATTATGCAGCTACTCCGAGATAACCTTACGTTGTGGACCAGTGACATGCAAGGAGATGGTTAGATGAAAATTAATTGATTGAATTTATCAACTGTTTAAGAGAGCTAATTTAAAATTGTATTTTTTGTAGGTGAAGCAGAACCAAAAGAGCAATTGCAAGATGTAGAAGATCAGGACGTGTCATAACTGTCTTAAACAAACAAAATTTATATGGGGCACGAAACGACGGCCCCTTTAGGAGCCCTGGCCACCATCGTTAATATAAAAAGGGGGTTATTTAAAAAATAACGTGGGAATGAGAAGAGGGTAGAGAACATTGAGTGTGCAGAAAAAAAATAATAATAAAAGTGTTGTGCATAATGGACGCTCTATCTACTACTACTACTACAACTACTACTACCGGAAGGATTAAAAAAAATAACACGTAACTACACAAAAAAATGATAAAAAATTCGAGTTTAACTTGAAAACAAAAAAAGTCGAGAAAAAAAAATAATAATTTTTTTTTGATTTAATAACGAGGGTGGCCGCCGCGTACATAATGTATTATTATTATTAATATTATTAGCCGTAACTTTATTGTAATCTGTGTGCGATTGAGTGAGTGCGAGTGAATGTGCGATTGATTCTTTAATTTTTTTTTTTTTTTTTTTGATCAATTAAAAAAATAATGTGAAAATGAAGTTAGTGCGAAAGATATTAATAAAAAAAGAGAATGAGTATTTGATTCGTGTCTTTCCGGACGTTTACGGATTTTTTTCGTCGCGATGCTAGAAAAAAAACGCCTTTTTACTACTACAACTGCATTATTATTATTATTAACTAATAATCTAGCAAGTTATAAAAAGAAATCATTAAATCACATCCATTTATTATGTGAAGAAAGAAAAATGGAATAAGAAAATGAAATGGAAAAGAATCGGAAACAAAAAGAAAACTGACAACCACCGAGAGCTTCTTATAATGGTAACTTTAAAGGTAACATTAAAAAAAAATTGGTTATTTAAAATAATTTAGTTTTTTATTTTGAGTTTTAAGTTATTTCCTTGTTAAAATGAATCGTTAAGGTTTACAATAAACCTTGGTAATAAAATAAAAATGAGGTTGCTGTCCGAGAGAGAATACGAAAAGGAAATAAGTGAGATTGAGTGTGTTGTTGGTTTTTTTCTTTTTGTTTAATTGAATGTGTCGAATCTCTTTTTGGATTTAATTTAACTTAAAAGAAACACGCATACAAAAAGAGGTTATATTTTTCTAATTGAGTCATTCCGTATATTTTTTACATTTTAATTTACCCCCAAAACACGAAATATTGTATGTACTTAAATCTCGAGGTTTTAATGTGTATTTTTTTTAATCTTAACATCACCATTTAGCAGGATAATTTTTGTATAAATTTTTTTATCAACGCTTAGGCGGTTGTTGGTTGAGAAATGAGAAAAGCGTTGCTGGCCCGTTTTATAGCGTACTGTTTCCACTTATACATATATACATATATTTTTTAGATGTGTAGGCCCCTTTTTTTATGGAAAAGTGAATTAAACTTCAAATTTATGTTTTAAATAAAGAAAAAATTTACTTCTAAGTGCGTGTGTGAAGCTGTTTTAGATGAGTATGAGTAAAAAACAAACAAATTGCTGTAATTATTATAAAAATTATTGAAAAAAAAAAAAAAACCGTAATTTTAATTCCCTTTATTCAAAAATTTTGACAGTTTATAGGTTATGTTTGTTGTGTGGTGGTTTGTAGTTTTGTTGAGTTTTGTGCTATAATTTAATTCAGGTGAGTTTTTAATTAGTAATAATCACAAAATAAGGTATTTTTAGTTAATTAAATCGATCTTCTGGGCCTTTAACACCAAACTTGAGAAAATAAGGTCAATTTAATCGATAATTTTTTCTAACCTCACTTTTTGTTGTAATTTTAATCAAAACTTCCAATTAAAATCTAAATTAGTATCTTTATTGGTTAATTAAAACATTTTTAGATTCATTTCTTAAAATTAAACTTAACCTACAAAATTCGTCTAAAATTTATCGATTCAAATTTGCTATATACGTCTCTTTTAATTCGGTTTTGCTGTGATTTTCAAAGAGAGCGGCGCGGTTTTGCCCCTCGCCTTTCTTAACCCAATGTCCGTAAACTCTAAAAGCACAACCATCGATTACTTTCCGCAACATTTTTATCCGGTAGGGATCGATGGCTGCTAAAGTCATGTTTAAGGGTTCCGGGGTGCAATGTAACCGAGTTAACCTGACGGCTGCTCTTACCACTAAAATTATAAACTGAAACTTTCTTCTTGGGTTAAAAGCTCGTTGCTTTAATTTCTGAAAATTAAAAATTAATTAATAAAAAGAATTAGCGATTTTTTGAGGTTAATAAAATTCAAATCAAACAACACTCAAAGTTAACATTAAAATCGTTTTTTTTTACCACTTCGATATCATTATATTGCTGGCTATCTCTGCGATAAGTTTGTTTAAGCGGGGAAATATCTTCATCGAAAAGCTAAATTTTTAATTAATTACGATTAATAAATAAATGGAATAACTAAAGGTCCGTTGAGTATTGGTTATAAGTTTATCCAACTCGAACAAATTGACGTTGACAGAGTAAGTTAGGAAACATGACGTCATTGGAGGAAAAATATAATATGATATACATATAATATTAATATAATAATATTGTTAACACTGTATAAAGAAAAACATAGAAATGTGAATTCTTCCAATGACGTCACAGCAAGCCCTTTGCGGGGCATACGTTCATAACAACAGGGTTCATAGGGAGTTGGATAACCTTATACCTTGGACATTGGGATAACTCACCATGGTATGAAAAAACACGTGATTTAGAGCTTCTCGTATCGAGATTCTTTTTGATGGTTCTAAAACTAAGATTTTTCTAATAAGATCTTTGGGAGAATCGGAAACATCATTCCATTCGGGGGAACTAAACGAATATTTTCCTTCAACGATGTTTCTAAGCATCACCATTTGTTTGCGGTGCCAAAATGGGGGGCACCCAACTAATCTTTAATTAAAATAATCAATGAAGTATTGAGGAATTTAAATAATACTCACAAAGTGTACATAATAACCCCACAAGCCCATCTAAAAAAAGTTAATTAATAAAAAAATTAACCTCAAAATTTGACATACATGTCAACTTCAAAGGAATATCCAGGTGCATCATCAAACATGTTGCATTTTAACGTTTCGGGGGCTAAGTACCCTGGAGTTCCACACAAATCCATTAAATATTCACCTCGTTGCGTTTTTTTCGCGAACCCAAAATCGGTTATTTTAACATTAAAGTTATCGTCTAATAAAATATTTTCTGGCTTTAAATCACGGTGGACTATGCCGCAATTATGGATGTGTTGAACCGCCTCGAAAATTTGCCTCATTATATAACGCGTTTTTTTCTCTGAAAACGTTACGACCGAAGTTAAGTAATCAAAGAGTTCCCCGTTTTTACACAGCTCGAATACGAGGAAAATAAAAGTTTCCGATTCAAAAACATCTTGTAGTTCAACTAAAAATTAATTATTAATTTTCGTTTTAATTTAGTTCGTTGATTTACTTATGTAAGGATGCCCCGCAACTTGTCTTAAAATTTGGATTTCTTGTTTGGTTTCTTCGTAAGAAGCTGCTCCTTCGTTATCCGTGCTAACATCGATTATTTTCGCGGCGAATTCTTTCCCCGTTTCTTTTTCGATACATCTCCTAACGGTTGAGCTTATCCCTCTATTTAAAATGAAATTAACTTAATTGAATTAATGAGGGTGAATGGGAAAACCTAACCTCCCCAAAATTTCTTTTGGTTCGTATTTCGCGTAAAATTCTTTCGCTGCGTCTTTATCGGGTAATCGGTCTTCTTCGTCGTCTTTTGCCATAACGTTATTTTTTCGATTAATTGAGTTATTTGGAATTATTTTAAATAAACACGTTAAATAACCAACAAAGAACTTGTCAATGTCAAATGAAATTTCAAAACAATTCGATTGTAACGAAGTTAGGCGCAGGCTTATTTAACGTTACTTTAATTTAATTACTTTTTTATTTTTCTTATAAATCAACATTTATTAATTTGTTAATTAAATTAATTCAACATTTTATTATAAATTTAGTTTAAATTTATTTTTGTTAAAAATTATTTCAAAATAATCGTGAAGTTAGATACGTCATGGTGACATATTAATTTGAGGTTAAAAACGAGGATGTGTTTGCACCAAATTGAGGTGCCTTTATTTCATTTCTATTTTAAATCTAGAAATAATAGAATCTAATAATTAATCTTTATACACTGAGAAATATTTTACTACTAATTTCGACTAGAAATGTAGCTGTTGTCTACTTAATAATAAAGAAGTCCCCTAAATAAGCCTTTTTGTTATAAAAGAAATTAGAAAAAATTATAGCTGCCCTCTTTCAAAAAAAAAAAAAATATCATGGCCGTTTAATTTAAAGTAGAAATCAAAAAAGGAAAGTGAAAAAAAAAAATAAGACGGCGATTATTGGTGGTTATTTTCGATTCAAATTATTTTTGTGATTTAAGGGGTTGAAATGTCCATGTAGGGATAAATGTAGGTTTGAGCCGAAGGTAAGACGAGGGGTATTTCTTCGAAACCCTTTGTTTTCTTATTCTTTCTGTTCTCTCGATCGCGATTGATTTCCTCATCGGTTTTGGGGATAAATTTCGGGCGTTTGTAATGAAGTTCAAAGCCGGCATCTTTGGGACAAATTGCGCTCCTTGGGTGCAAACCGCGGTCGCATTCCTCTGGTTCCGGTTCTTCTGGCTAAATTTAAATAAAAAACGATTTAATTTAAAATCTATTTGCATCCGCGCTAAACAAACAAAATAAAGCACTTACTTGACATTGCGGTTTCTCAAACTTTTTGCACGGAGGTTTTTTCGGTTTACAACTATCATTATCGAGGAAATACCCAATCCTCTCGGCGTTACCCCCAGATGGAGGCCCCACCAACCCTCCTCCGTTAGAAATGTCTGCACTCAATGCCAATTCTTGAAATCTATTTGAGATAGGGGCGTTTTTGTAGCAACCGCACGGCCCAGCCGGGCAATCCTTAATCAATTTGTGCTTCTTCTCCGGACAATATGGAGGCTTATGTCTCGGTGCAGGTTCGCGTTCTTTAACTAACTCAAAAGTGTCGTGTTTGAATGGAAATTTCTTACAGGGATTCGGGGGACACGGTTTGTCCTTTAAAAGAATTGGTTCCTCCTCGATTGGTGCTAATTCAGCTTCTTGCAAAAATCCTTAAAAAAAATTTAAGATATTCACTATTATTTACTATTTTTGATTTACTATTATTAATCTCCATTACAAATCCTTTAATTTGATACCAAACTCGGTACATTTATCTCAAATATTTCCAGAGATGTCCCCAATTTTAATTATTGTTATTTTTATCAAAGATGGTGGATATTGTTTGGACTTCGTTTTCGTAACTTTTTATTTTTAAAGGTAACCCAATCGCGTTCGGGCGATGGGGTCACCGATTTTTTTTTAAATCGGATTATCTCCTTCAATTTTAATTAAAAATCGTTGAAATTCATTAAATTCCCTCTAATTTGATACCAAACTCGATATATTTTGGTTAAAAATTAACGTAACTTTGAACCGGAAGTTAAATAATTACTAACTTCCGGTGTGTAACTTTTTTATTTTTAAAGATACCCCAATCGTGTTTGGACTCATCCTAAACGATTTTTCACCCATTTTAAGATGCTTACCGTGTAGTTTCGTCGACATGATTTTTTGCGCTTCATTGTTATCCATAACCGGCGTCTTTTTCATGGTTTGCTGTTGCAACCACGCCCCGATTTGATCGCCTAACGCGAGCTCTATGCACTTCTTTTTCGGCTTCTTGCACTCGTCCTTTTTCACCTTGTTTTTCGCGCGGATTTCCGCTTCATCTTTCGGCCTTCTTTCCTCGCAATCTTGTTTCTGTTTACAGGGTGGTTTCTGAAAAACGATTATTTCTGTCAATAAAATAAATTCTTTTTTTAATTTCATTTCCTTACTTCTTCCAAGCATCTAATACTTTTATGGAGCTTATACCCAACCGAATTTCCGTTGATAATATCGGCATCAAGATTTTTAACGAATTCTTCCTCTTCGAGTTTGCTTGTCCCTGGTGCGAAATAATCGATTTCTGTGTGGTAACTTTTGTTGTTGTTTTTAAACGTGGGGTGTTTCCACGGTTTCCACGGGCAGCTGTTGCATTCCGTTGGCCGAATAAACGGGAGTTCCCCGCAGCGCTCCGAGAACGAGGGATATGGCGAAAAAATTTTTTGGCAAGGTGCTCTGCTTATTTGCCTGGGTGTGCAACCCCCAATTCTCGCCGGGGCGCAACACGGCATTTTAAACCTCCTACATTTTTTGGCACTCTTATCGGGACACAAAATGGAGGTTTTACTATTTTTGCATTTCCTCTTAGAGCCCCCCTTCGTCGAATACTGCCTTCTTTGGCATTTCATTAAAACGGGTTGTTGTTGTTGATGATCATGATGATGGTGTTGCTGTTGATGTTGGTGGCGTTGCCTCGAAGAGTGATTTTCGGGTAAAATAACAGTTCTCGCCGCCATTTTTTGTTCGGCCAACATCAACTCAGCTTTTTCTTTATCACAAACCGTGTGAGATGGCATCACTTTGACCGGTTCCGGAAATGGGTTTGCTAGCTTAGGTGCTTTTAACGGACGTGTTAGGTTTAACCTCGTCGAGGATTCCTCAAATTTTCTGCACCAACAAAAAATAAAAATTAACAAGATCAATTCCAAAATCACGTTTTTATTCAATTTCCAAAATCAAATTGTTAATTACACTTCAAAGCAATTTTTTTAAATAATTTTTAAGGCAAAAAAAACGTGCTGCAACGACGCACAGAGGACGGACACTTCCCGTTTTAATTCTGCAACCAAAAAATAAACCACAGAAAAAACATCAAAAAAATGTAAACAAATATTCTTTTTGTAGAAAAATTGAAGCTTTGAAGTGCGATTTGATTTGAAACAAAAACGTGATTTTTTCGACTCCTAAAATTTAAATTAATTTCGTCCTTTTGCGTCGTTACAAAAATTAAAATTTCGCTTTATCCGGATTTGTTGCCTTCACACCTTCTGGGATTTGTCTTTATTTTGGTTGTTTAGTACTGAAATGACATTGTTGTACCTCGCCTTCTTTATCGACGATTGCTTTTCCTGCTCGTTCGTGGTATCCTGATAAATACTCGAGTTTATTTCAACCGGCGGCTTGTAATATTCGGGTAACAAAGCTGGTTGAAGATGCTGCATTGCCATCGCGTTCTTTGCCACTTCAGTCTCATTCTTCACAGCGTTTCGTTGCGATGCAAAATTTACTACCAACGAAGGCCCAGAACGGTTCGCTCGCGGTTGACATACCTAAAACAAATCATCATTAAACCCAAACAAAAACTTTAAAAAGAATCAATCTCTTCACCTGGTATTGAACTGGATTTGATGGCGAAATTGGAGAGTTTGAGTGCGAGGTTTCGCCGGAAACATCGTCGTTATTCCGAGATGTTAAGTCCAAGTCGGTTATGTCCCGTTTAGTAGACAACGATCTACGGACCTAATTTGAATGCTCGGCTTTAATAAAAAATCGATTACGAATTGAAATTAACTTACGTTTTTGACGAATTGACGGTTAATTTTGTTTGCGATGCGTAAAGCCATGATGTTGAAGAGAGGTAAACAACTAATACGGATGTCAAACACAAACAAACAAATTTACGCGAGTTGTTAGGGGATCAAAAAATTTTATTGGCAACCCTACTTCGATCCATTTTAAATTAGAAATTATTTAAAAAAGTTTTTGTCAAAAAAAATTAATACAAATATTTTAATAATTTTTTTTTAAATCCCCGTCTTAAATCATCCCGAAATAATACCCAACCACATAATTTTCAACCCAACCGCCGTTTTAACAAATTTACACAATTTATTTCAATTCCATCGAGTTTGTATTCAAGTTAACGGAAATTAATCGATGAGGAATTAAAAATTAAGTTCAAATTTATCAAAATATTTAGTACAAAAAATTTATTAATTACGATTTTCTCTAGAACCATCAATTTTTTATTAAGGCAAGTTGATTTTAATGTACTCAAAATTGAAAATCCTCTTATTTTAGTATAAACACGACGTGATTTTATCAATAAAACGAGTACTTAGAGGAACTTTTTTGTTTTTCAAGATAACTAACATATCGTGTCCTCAAAATTAACAGTCAAAATTAAGATTTTATCCACGATATGGTTTTTTAAATATTAAGTATTGTTTTTTAAGGTAAACATGTTGTGTTTGGGTTCATTTTAAAGGATTTTTTTAATTTCTTTCTATTTTATACTCTTCGTTTTTACTCTCAATACTATTTAAATAATTACTGTATAATGATCACAATTATTAAGTTTAAAACCAAATTAACTTCATAACATTTCTCGTTTAATAGTTATTTATTGTATAAGTGTTTTAGACAACATTTTATTTACATATTTGCATCTAAAACACGCATGCAACACGTTTTATCCACAATCACACTCATTTAGAATCAGAATCGCCAAAATTTCATCTGATGTTATCAAAAAATGATTTGACACAGAGACAAGGAAGGATAGAGATGGCCAACTCTACCTTATTAAATTGTACCTTGCGTACAGCGCCATCCGATGTCACCGCAGAGTACTAATCATAGATTAAAACCAACTTCCACTAGGATAATGGTGTAAAACTGGGCTAACCAACGATCTGGCAACATTGTTCGCTGCGCATCGAAGCGAAGCGAGCGACGTTGCCAGATCGTTGGGGCTAACTTTAACCGCCAAATTTAAAAATAACACAATTAATATTGCTTTGAAAAAAGGAAATAAATATATTTTAAATGAAAGATCTAATTTCAACATAATAATTTATTATTCACAAAACTAATAAAATTTGGTAACATAAATAGAATATAAAGAATTTTACATGTATAGT